TTTATTATAAATTATATTCATTTTTAATTCATAATTAATGTATAATTAAATTATTAATATAATTGCAACAATAAAATTAAAATCAAAATAAATGAATAAATAAGAAAAAATAAATTAAATGAATTTAAATAATAAATAAAATAAAATTATGTAAATTTGTTCCAAATAAATAACATAATGTAAAAAGAAATAGTAAGAACAAATTAATATGTACTTTTTATGCCACTTTTAATTTTAAAAACATACATAACTTATTTATTAAGGCCTAATTGGAAATAAAATCATGAACTTTGTCGGCTGACATGGCGATTTTCTGTTGACTTCCATACAGAAGCTCCTTTATTCCCTTCAAAACGCTTCTATTCGGCCGGCTGTAATGCTCATGCTGCATCATATCGAGCATGCTCTTACTGTCAACTTCAACCAAACCAACTGTAGACCCTGAAGGCTGAAACAAACCCCATAATTCCGCTCCAATGATTAAACAAAGCCCCGTGTTCATTTGAGCCACATAAGCCATATGTATATCTTACCCTTTGACCAAATAGCCTACGCTACAACACGAAAAGACCTTTTGATTTAAAGATCATGATTATTAGTTGTGTTTGAAGTAGAGTTTTAGATGATTGGCAAACATATAGTTAAATGGGTGTTTAATTTGACTTGAGCGTATCCTTCTCTTTTATATATTGATGACATGTGAGTGAGGCACTTATATTTTTCCTATTTGAGGGTTCGTTGATTCAAGGTAAATACAAGATAGTAGTCAAAGTGTGATAAGTACGATAGTTTGAAATTTTCTTGGTTGCATTGAAGGATTTGAAGCTGTTCTAGTTTGATATCACTCATCATGCTTCAGTTTTGATTCTCTTATCCTTGTTCGAGGTCGAACAAGGGTTGAAGTTTGGGGGAGTTGACATTCGTCATATTTACATGCATTATGAGTGATATATTATGATATTTGGCCGTGTTTATCGTTCGATTGTGCACAATTATGTTTTTATTTATTAATCTATGATAGAGGTAATTTAATTTGTTGTTAGTCTTGCAGGAAATATGTCTGAAAAAACGTTAAAATGGACTCGGGACGAAAAACGACGAAAAAAGGTGCAGTTGAGGACACACGACTCGTGTGAGAAGTGACACGAGTCGTGTGGATAAGGAAAAAGGAGACGTTTCATTACAACATTTTCACACGAGTCGTGTGGAATGTGACACAGGTCGTGTGACCTTAAACTGGTCGTGTGGTTGTGTGATACGGGTCGTGTGAGTCTGGGAGTTCGGCGAAAATTGGAAAGTCACACGACTCGTATGGCTATATGACACGAGTCGTGTGACGTGCAGACCACTTCAACAAGGACTAGGATTATGAAGCGATTTTTTCCCTATTTCAACCAATATTCGGCCTACGGTATAAAAAGGAACTTCAATAACTCGACTTTTGGGAGATTTGACACTTTTGGAGGCCAAGAGAAAGCAAGAAACACAAGAGGAATTCGAAGAAGTCAAGATTGAAGATTGTGGAACTAACAACGACAATAGTTCTTCTTTCTTTTATCTTTTTCTTCTTCATTGAACTCATGAATTTATTTATTTTGAGTTTTGAGAATATGTTCTGTAGTAACCATTTTGAGATTCTAGGGTTTGTGAGTACTCGGATTATTTTATGAAATGATTTTATTTATTCATTCCGGTTTATCTTTCATTTATTAAATTCTTGTGCTTATATCAAATGTGTGAATACAGGGCCTGCATTTATGCATGTTTGTGATTAACTTGAGACCGAGAGGAGATAGTTGGTTGCTAGAAGCCTAGAATTGAGAAATTCATAACATAAGAGACTAAACAGATCGAGAGGTTGATAGAATCTTGCGAGAGAACTAGAATCTTATGAACTAGTGGAGTAAATTGTTCATCTTGAGACCTAGAGGAGATAGATAACAGTTAATCAACGATTTAGCTTGCTCGAGATAGAGGTTAAATTACTTTAGTGATTATCCATACGATTGGTAAAATTAAATAAGGTTTGATTGAATAAGAAATCTTTGCTAGAATAATTCCGAGGAAAAATTAGCCTAGTATCTTTTTTCTCATTCTTGATTTATTTTAGAACAAGCCTTCATTAGTGTTAGAATTTATTTTGCAATTATTCATTAGTTTAGAATTAATTCACCATTCCATTTTGAGTTAGTCTAAATAATATTTAATTATCTATATTTTGGTATTTAATTATTTTGACTACAATCTTTGTGGAATACGACTTTGAGCGATTTATATATTTATTAATAAAAAAATAATAAGTGGATAAAAAACAAAAAAAAAGGGGGAGTGGACCAACATAAAAAGCACGTATTTATAAAATACGTTTTCCGTATAATTTAAAAGAAAAACGTATTTATCATATTTTTTTACAAAGGAAAACGTATTCACGGAATACGTTTTCCAAATAATTTTTCCAAAAACCGTATTCAAGGAATACGGGCTTTTGATTCCTTTCCACCTCTTTTTTTTTTTTTTTT